GTTGGCGTCCAGCAGCTGCACGCGCACGCGCGCCTCGCTGCTCAGCGCCGGGGAGCCGCGGTCGGCGGCGCGCACGCCGAACTCGAAGGCGCGCAGGGCCTCGTAGTCGAGCGCGCGCAGCGCGTACAGCTGCCCGCTGTCCGCGTGCACCGACACGAGCGCCGCCACGTCGGGCTGCTGTGGCGGCGGCAGCAGCGAGTAGGTCACCTGCGCGTTGGCGCCCGCGTCCCTGTCGCTGGCGCTCACGGAGCCGATGAGCAGCCCGGGGCTGTTGTTCTCGCGCACCAGCAGGGTGTAGGCGGCCTGGCTGAAGGCCGGGGCGTTGTCGTTCACGTCGGACACCTGCACCGCGACGTGGTGCCGGGTGGTCAGCCTGGGCGTGCCCAGGTCGGACATGGTGATGGTGATGTTGTACTCGGCCCTGGCCTCCCTGTCCAGCGCTCCATCGGTTACCAGGGTGTAGAAGTTCTCCACAGAAGATTTTAGCGCGAAGGGTAGATCGTCCGGAATGGAGCAGCTTATCTTCCCATTTTCCTCTGAGTCAAGATCTGATACGCTGAAAACTGCCACCACCGTCTCAGGCGCGTTCTCGGGAATGGGGTTGGTAAGTGCAGAGATGGTAACTTCTGGAACATGGTCGTTCACATCCAAGACTTGGATCAATACGGTGCATTTCCCAGAAAGGCTGCCGGCGTCTCTCGCCTCGATGGTGACTTCATACGACTGGATATTCTCGAAATCAAGTTGCTTTTTCAGTCGAATTTCTCCTGTCCGGGCATTGAGCTCGAAGGTTTTGCTGATCTCGTCTGAAGCCTGGAAGAGCGAGTAGGAAGTCTGGGCGTGGAGCCCGGTGTCTGCATCCGTAGCGGAGACCCTGAGGAGCAAGAAGCCTGTGGGACTGTCCTCGGGGACCTGCACCCGGTAGAGAGGCTGCCCAAATTCAGGGGCGTTATCGTTGACGTCCACCACCTCTATGCGGACCTGCGCGGAGCCAGAGCGGGGCGGAGAGCCGCCGTCCTGGGCTGTGAGCGTCAGCCTGAGCTCGGGCTCCTCCTCGCGGTCCAGCGCTTGGTCCAGCACCAGCTCGGGGTACTTCTTGCCATCGCTGCGTTTGCGTGTGAGGACCCGAAAGTAGGAGTTGGGACTGATGATATAGCTGTCGACGTCGTTGGGGCCTACGTCCACGTCCTGCGCGTTTTGCAGAGGAAACGTGGTCCCGGGAGGACTGCTCTCTGATATTTTCAGCAACATTTCTTTGTCCGGGAACACGGGAGAATGGTCATTGATGTCTATTACTTGTATCTCAGCTTGGAAAAATTCCAAGGGATTCTCCAGCAACACCTGGAAACGCAGCACGCAGGGCTCCGCAGGCCCGCAGATTTCCTCGCGGTCCAGCTTCTCAGTTAGCAGCAAATCCCCCGTCTCCGGATCGAGTTGCAAACGGAGCCTGTTCCCTTTGGAGACAACCCTAACCGCCCGCCTGGAGAGCTCCCCCTGCCCCAGACTCAGGTCCTTTGCTAGATTGGTTACAGTGGAGCTGCCCTCAGTCTCCTCCACCACGGAATAGAGCCTCGGTTTTGCCGCGCCCGCCAGAGATAAGCCCGAGAAGACAAGGAAGAAAAGCACTTGCCTTTGTTTGCCAGGGAGCCTGCGCCTGGCCGCCATGGTTGAGCCTCCTGCGAAGGCGGGTCCGCTGAGCTGTGGAGCCCTCCAGTATCTGCTACTGCGGCTCTTGCACGAGGCGGCAGAAAGACTTCGGGGAGCAGGCCTTTTTAGAGGAGCCGGCCTTTCTCTCTCTCCCGCATCCCGGCTACCCGCGAGCTTCCAGCTTCTGCGGGCTGTTTTGTCTGGGAAGGGAGCCTCAGCGGCATTCCGGGTTGTACCGGCTTATCCTGCAGCGCCACCACGCGTCCTCATAGGATCTTGCATTTTAGGGGATGAAAAACGGATGCAGTTTTTAACTCTGTGGTTACCCCGGGGCTATGATATAAGATCACAACGCCACCTTTGCCGTGGCAGATCTTATTGGCCACTCAAGAAAAATGATATTGGTAGGGACTCTTTCAATGATATCTATCGAATTTAGGGCAAAGGGAAAACATTTAGGTAATAGTCTGACTGTAAGTAAATTATATGTACAGGAAAATTTTAAAAAATATATAATTGGAATAACAATAACAAAGTTTCAGAATTAAATCCTTTTACTGCCACAAACCATGGAAAAATTAGTCACAAATTATTTAACCTCCCTCCTCCTTAGTTTTCTCATGCATAAGGTGAAGATAGTAATTTTACCTACCACAAAGGGCTGTTATGAATTCTCCACTTTACTGATGGGAAGTTGGCACATTAAGAAATTAACCTTATAGATCATATATGGCAATGCCATTGCCACCATGTAGCTAAGTCTGCATGAATCCACGGGGATGACTAGAAAAACACCTCCAAATTCACACTGTAGAAGAATGCATGATGAAGACTATTCCAGAACGCAGTTATGTCAGGTGATGGCGACTGAACAGGGAAAGGCTGGAGAGGTTGTCTATATAGAGGCACAGTCTATGACAGCAGTGACGATTCTGTGTCTCAGAAAGCTGTCCCTTTTTGTTACCTCCACTTCTCACAGTATCAATTTAAATTCTGTTTTGAAAATTTCAGATCCCATAGAGAATAAGCTCCATGTTCTCATTAGCAGGTGCAAAAATGATCACTCCGCCATAAATTCTCAACTGTATTCGTCTAGCATCTCCACATTCCAGAAAACTTAAACTTTCACCCACAGTTCATATTCCATTACTAATTTAATAACTTTAAACATTAATTAAATTGATATTAATATCCATCCATGTTCAGATTTCTCTCTTATTATTGTTGTCTTTTGAATCAAGATACAATGTCCACCACACACTCCATTTGGTTAACAGGTCTCCTAAGTTCTCTCTCTCTCTCTCTCTTTTTTTTTTTTTTGACATGCAGAGTTAGACATGCGAGAGACAGACAGAAAGGTCTTCCTTCTGTTGGTTCACTCCCCAAATGGCCACTATGGCCAGCGCGCTGCACCAATCTGAAGCCAGGAGCCAGATGCTTCCTCCTGGTCTCCCATGTGGGTGCAGGGCCCAAGCACTTGGACCATCCTCTACTGCCCTCACAGGCCACAGCAGAGAGCTGGACTGGAAGAGGAGCAACTGGGACAGAATCCGGCACCTCAACCGGGACTGGAACCTGGGGTGCCGGCACTGCAGGTGGAGGATTAGCCTAGTGAACCGCGGAGCTGGCCATTTCTTTTTTTAAAAAATTTTATTTAATATATATAAATTTTGAAAGTACAATTTTTGGATTATAGTGGCTTTTTTCCCCATGACCTCCCTCCCACCCACAACCATCCCTTCTCCCACTCCCTCTCCCATCCCATTCTTCATCAAGATTCATTTTCAATTATCTTTATATACAGAAGATCAACTTAGTATATACTAAGTAAAGATTTCAACAGTTTGCACCCACACAGATACACAAAGTATAAAGTACTGTTTGAGCACTAGATTTACCATTAATTTGCATAGTACAACACATTAAGGACAGAGATCCTACATGGGGAGTAAGTGCACATTCCCGTTGTTGATTTAAAATTGACACTTTTATTTATGACGTCAGTAATCACCCAAAGCTCTTGTCATAAGCTGCCAAGACTATGGAAGCCTCTTGAGTTCACAAACTTCGACCTTATTTAGACAAAGCCATTAATCAAAGTGGAAGTTCTCTTCTCCCTTCAGAGAAAGGTACCTCCTTCTTTAATGGCCCGTTCTTTCTGCTGGGATCTGTCTCACAGAGATCTTTCGTTTAGTTTTTTTTTTTTTTTTTTTTTTTTTGCCATAGTGTCTTGGCTTTCCACACCAGAGAAAGCCTCTTGTGCTTCTTAGCCAGATCCGAATATCTCAAGGGCTGATTCTGAGGCCTGAGTGCTGGCTAGGGCATCTGCCATTCTATGAGTCTGCTGTGTATCCTGCTTCCCATGTTGGATCATTCTCTCCTTTTGAATTCTATCAGTTATTATTAGCGGACACTAGTCTTGTTTATGTGATCCCTTTGACACTTAATTCTATCATCATGATCAATTATGAACTTAAACTGATCACTTTGATTGATTTGGACTCCCCTGGCACCTTTCTAGTTCTACCATTAGGAGTAAGTCCGAGTGAGCATGTGCCCAACTGTACATCTCCCTCTTTTATTCCCACTCTTATATTTATCAGGGATCACTTTTCAGTTACATTTAAACACCTAAGAATAATTGTGTTTTAATTAAAGAGTTCAACCAATGGTATTAAGTAGAACAAAAAAAATACTAAAAGGAATAAAATAGTAAGTTGTTCATTGTCAGTCAGGACAAGGGCTGATCAGATCATTGTTTCTCATAGTGTCCATTTCACTTCTACAGGTTTCCATTTAGGTGCTCAGTTAGTTGTCACAGATCAGGGAGAACATATGATATTTGTCCCTTTGGGACTAGCTTCCTAAGTTCTTTAATTATGTAAATATCTTTTCCCTATCTCCATGTAATGTATTAGTTGGAAAAACTAGATTTTTTTATGTATTTTTTGACAGGCAGAGTGGACAGTGAGAGAGAGAGAGAGAGAGAGAGAGGTCTTCCTTTTTCCATTGGTTCACCCCCCAATGGCCGCTGTGGCCAGCATGATCCAAAGGCAGGAGCCAGGTGCTTCTCCTGGTCTCCCATGCGGATGCAGGGCCCAAGCACTTGGGCCATCCTCCACTGCCTTCCCAGGCCACAGCAGAGAGCTGGACTGGAAGAGGAGAAACCAGGACAGAACCAGCGCCCTGACTGGGACTAGCACCCGGGGTGCCAGCACCGCAGGTGGAGGATTAGCCTAGTGAGCCGCAGCGCCGGCCCAAACTAGATAATTTTATCATGAGACTATGAAAACAATTTAATGAGTTTTTTGCCTTTATCCTATATGCCACTGGTGGGTATAGCAATACCTCTATTTTTGTGTTACCATCTCTAATTTATAATATACTCAGAAGGCCTCCATGCAAAAATTCTGACCCAGCTTCCTGCTGGTGTTGGCAGGCCACAGGTGATGGCTAAAGTGACTGGGCCCCTTCCACCCACGTGGGAGACCTGGTTTGTCCAGACGAATGCTCCTGCCACTCCTGTGGGAAACCTAGACAGGCTCCTGGCTGCAGCCTCCACTCAGCCCCACCCCTTCCTGCACACAATTTGCAGGAGTGAACCAGCAAATGGGAGCTCAGACTGTGCCACTCAAAAAATTTTTAAAGATACTTTGCAACCTATGCTTCCTAAACTTTTTGTAGGTCTACCCGTGCAGCATTCTAGTCAGTCAGAAAATCAAAGCAATAAACTATGAAGACAAAGGAAAACAACTGAAAATATCTCACCACTTGTCATTAAATGGACTGTACATTAAGAACAGATAAAACATGGCGCACACATTCCTTGCTTTGTGCAGGTTTCTTAGGGCTAAAGCTGGGTTATTTTCTGTGTAAAGCAATTGTGGCCCAGCAGATTAAGCTGCCATTTGGAACACCTGCATCCCATATCCAAAAGCCTGGGATCCAGTCCCACCTCCACTTCTAATCCAGTTTCCTGCTATAGTGCTTGGGAGGCAACAGATAATGGCTCAAGTACTTGGGTTCCTAGCGCATAGATAGGACACCCGAATGGAGTTCCTGACTCCTGGCTCTGCCCTGCCTGCTGCTACTCTTTGGGACCATCAAATACAAGTGTCTTGTCTCTTTCCCTTTTCACCACACCCTCTTTCCCTCTTTCTGATGAAGAGCAAAAATGACTCCATTTTAAAACAATAAAAAAAAAAAGCAGCCTCCTTTTCCCATAGCAGACCCGAGTCCTTGTAAAAGCAGGCATTCAGGCATTCCGGAGATATCAAAGCTTACCAGGGACAGCTAGCTCGGTAGACCAAGGACAGCACAGTAGAGACTGCTAAACAAAATAACTCCCTGTACCCAAAGCTCCTGTGCTGTATGTAACTCTTTTTTCCTGCTGATGTAGCCCTTTTTTCCTTTAAAAACTCTCCCAAGCAAAGACCAGGGCCTCACTCCTTCCTGCACTGGGATGGTTGGTTGGATGGGGTTCCTGTCGCGGCTTGTACTTCCAAATAAACCTTGCTTTTGCAGTTCTGTGTTATTGACTCTCTGGGGCGTCTCTGCGGGGATCTAACGATCTGGGCACAACACTGACACTCTTTTTTTTTTTTTTTTTTGACAGGCAGAGTGGACAGTGAGAGAGAGACAGAGAGAAAGGTCTTCCCTTTGCCGTTGGTTCACCCTCCAATGGCGGCCAGCGCACCGCGCTGATCCGATGGCAGGAGCCAGGTACTTATCCTGGTCTCCCGTGGGGTGCAGGGCCCAAGTAGTTGGGCAATCCTCCACTGCACTCCCTGGCCACAGCAGAGAGCTGGCCTGGAAGAGAGGCAACCGGGACAGAATCTGGCGCCCCGACCGGGACTAGAACCCAGTGTGCCGGCGCCGCAAGGCGGAGGATTAGCCTAGTGAGCCGCGGCGCCGGCGACACTCTTTCAAATGAAATAAATTTCGAAAAGATAAATTGACAACTGGAAACTTGAAATAATGTGAGAACACAACTTCACAGACATCTCAGGGTAAGATTCTAATTAGAAAAAGTCCAAGACACGGTATTTATTATTAATTCCTTATCAGAAACCCAAATTGTTTTGAATGGAGGGGTTTTCTTCAATTTCTCTCCCTGTACTCTGGGATAAGAAACTAGGGATAACCGGCTTCATGAACTTGAACTCCCCGGTCCCAGCGTCGCCCGTCAGGCGCACCTCGTACTGGTAGCTGTGCGACAGCGTCCCGCCGCCGCTCACGTCCAGCAGCGGCCCCGGGAAGCGGCCCTCCGCACCCGCGCCGCCGCCGCCAACCGCACACCCCGCCCCCACACCGACACCGCCCGCGCCCCCGCCCGCGCCCGCGCCGCACAGCCGCGCCGCCACCAGCGCCAGCACACTCAGCACCAAGAGCGACGACACCGCCGCCAGCGCCACCACCAGCTGCACCGTGAGCGAGTCGGGCCGCGCCGCCTCGGCCGCCGCCGCCGCCTCGGGCAGCGCCAGGTAGGGCTGCGAGAAGCCGTCCACCAGCAGCACGTGCAGCGTGACGCTGGCCGACAGCGGCGGCTCGCCGTGGTCGCGCACCAGCACCAGCAGCCGCTGCCTGGGCGCGTCGCGCTCGCTCAGCGGCCGCGCCGTGCGCACCTCGCCGCTGTGCGCCCACACGCCGAACAGCCCGGGCTCCGTGGCCTTGAGCAGCTCGAACGACAGCCAGGCGTTCTGGCCCGCGTCGCCGTCCACCGCCACCACCTTGGTCACCAGGTAGCCCGCGTCGGCCGCGCGCGGCACCAGCTCGGGGCAGGCGGCCGAGCCGTTGGCCGGCGGGTACAGCACGGCCGGCGCGTGGTCGTTGGCGTCCAGCAGCTGCACGCGCACGCGCGCCTCGCTGCTCAGCGCCGGGGAGCCGCGGTCGGCGGCGCGCACGCCGAACTCGAAGGCGCGCAGGGCCTCGTAGTCGAGCGCGCGCAGCGCGTACAGCTGCCCGCTGTCCGCGTGCACCGACACGAGCGCCGCCACGTCGGGCTGCTGCTGCTGCAGCTGTGACGGCGACGGCGACTGCGGCGCGGCGGGCGGCAGCAGGGAGTAGGTCACCTGCGCGTTGGCGCCCGCGTCCCTGTCGCTGGCGCTCACGGAGCCGATGAGCAGCCCGGGGCTGTTGTTCTCGCGCACCAGCAGGGTGTAGGCGGCCTGGCTGAAGGCCGGGGCGTTGTCGTTCACGTCGGACACCTGCACCGCGACGTGGTGCCGGGTGGTCAGCCTGGGCGTGCCCAGGTCGGACACGGTGATGGTGATGTTGTACTCGGCCCTGGCCTCCCTGTCCAGCGCTCCATCGGTTACCAGGGTGTAGAAATTCTCTACAGATGGCTTTAGGAGGAAGGGGAGATCTTCCTGAACCGAACACACCATTTTCCCATTGTTGCCTGAATCTCTGTCTCTGATCCTAAAAACGGCGACGACGGTCTCGGGTGAATTTTCTGCAACGGGACTACTTAGCGATGACATGATCAGTTCTGGTTCATTGTCATTTATATCTATTACCTCAACCACTACGGTGCATTTTCCGGAGAGCCCTCCACCGTCTTGGGCCTGAATGGTGAGTGTGTAAGTTTGAATTGCTTCATAGTCCAATTGGCCTTTAAGAAGAAGATTGCCAGAGGTTGAATTGAGCTGAAACGTTTTGAGAATTCTTTCCGTGGCATAGAAGAATGCGTAGGTTATTTCCCCATAGCTCCCGGCGTCTAGATCTCTAGCTGACACGGCGACAACCAGGGAACCAGTGGGGCTGTCTTCGGGCACTTGCACCTTGTATAGGGACTGCACAAATTCGGGAGCGTTGTCATTGATGTCTACGACCCGGATGCACACCAGGGCGGTTCCGGATCGCTGCGGAGAGCCGCCGTCCAAGGCCGTGAGGGTTAAACTGAGCTCAGGCATCTCCTCTCGGTCCAGCACCTGCTCCAGTATCAGTTCGGGAAGCACACTCCCCTCCCCATCACCAAGGACACGGAGATGGAAATAGGCATTGGGGCTGATGGTGTAGTTGCTCAGGCTGTTGGTTCCCACGTCTGGATCCTGGGCACTTTCGAGCAGAAATGCCGCCCCTGGCGTGGTAATCTCTGATATTTTCAGGGGAATCTCTCTATTTAGAAATGCTGGAGAATGATCGTTGATGTCTGTGACCCGCAGTTCAGCACGGAAAATCTGAAAAGGCTTTTCCAGTAACAACTGGAAAGGCAGCACACAGGGCTCCGTGGGGCCGCACAGTTCCTCTCGGTCCAATTTCTCATTTAGAAGTAAATCCCCAGTAAGCAGATTGAGCAGTAAAAATCGCAGGTGCTGGTCTGTAACAATTCTAGCTCCCCGGGCTGACAGTTCCCCCACCCCCAATCCCAGGTCGGTGGCCAGGTTGGCCAGGGAGGTGCCTCTCTCAGTTTCCTCTGCCACAGAATACCGAAGCGGTTCCGCGCCAGCGCGAGACACCCCCAGAAACACACAAAGGAATAGGACTTGCCTTTTCTGCACGGCCCGCTCCCCTCTGGCCTCCATTCTTCGCTGCATCAGTCTCAAAATCACTCCCTCTTGGCCTCAGGCAGCTCTCGGAAAAGGCAGCCACCGAATCCTTAGAAAGGAGCCGGATAGTAGCTATGATTGTGGGGAGAGAGTCCCCGACTTCCCCTCACTCCTGTTACCGCGGTTTCCGTTCCTCCTCCTTGGTCAGACTGCCTCTTTACCCCCGCAGTCTGTCACCTCCGTGGTGCGGTATTTTGTCTTTTTAGTCAGCAGCGCCACCTTGCGTTTTGTGCGTGTTATTCCCGTTCTCAAAAATAGAAGAAAAAGATGGCGGATTAATGGAATTTGCGGCAGGACTGACTGTTTTCTGGTTTTGGCATTTTGTTCCATTTTTCCTCTCAAGGGTCGCAGAAATGCTAGTAAGTAGTAGTTTATGTCCCTACCCACTCTGATGATCCGAGATCATAGAAAAACAAATCTGCTTTCTTCAATCCAGGGATATGAAATTAAACCCTTCCCACCAAAAGCCGAAGAGGAAACCCTTCTATTTTAAAAATTGATGGGAAGAATGTGAAAGAAAACCAAACTTCTATCAAAAGGTTAACCAGTATTAGCTGAGAGTCTTTTACTTGCAAGCCACTTAAAAATAATTATGTTCCTGTTGGTAAAGTAATGTCTTTATTCCGTTTCTGGCCTGTGTTATGTTCTGTGTGTGGGTGGGTTTTTGTGTAACTCCTATGATTTTGGTATTAAACCATCATTCTGGCCTCCTAGAATGTGTTAATAAGCTTTCCATCTACTTTATACAACATAAGAGGTTTTTTTAATAGGCATATTATTGTCTGTTTCTACATGTTAACTACTACTTGCTTTTTAAACTGGTTGGGTTTGTTGTCTTCACTGGTACTTTTCCATTTTCCCTTTGGTTATTCATCTGTTCAGGTTCTGTTTACTTTTTAAGTAATTTGTATTCTATTTAAAAAGTCTTTTACCTAGTTTACAAATTTTCTTTTTGAGAAAGTTTATAAGTATAAATACATACAACATGTACATTGGTAATTTTTTAAGGATTTTTTATTTATTTGAAAGGCAGAGTTAGAGAGAGAGAGGGAGGGAGGGAAGGAAAGAGGAGAGAGGGAGGGAGGGAGGGAGGGAGGGAGGGAGGGAGGGAGAGAGGGAGAGAGAGAGAGAGAGAGAGAGAGAGAGATATGTCTTATATCCAATGGTTCTATCCCCAAATGGCTGCAATGGCCAGAGCTGCACTGATCTGAAGCCAGGAGCCAGGAGCTTCTTCCAAGTCTCCCATGTGGGTGTAGGGGCCCAAGCACTTGGGCCATCTTCTACAGTTTTCCCAGGCCACAGCAGAGAGCTGGTTCAAAAGAGGAGCAACTGGGACTAGAACTGGCATCCATATGGGATGCTGATGCTGCAGGTGGTGTCTTTACCAGCTATGCTACAGTGCTGGCCCCTCTGTACACTTTTTTTTTAAAGATTTCTTTATTTATTTGAAAGGCAGACTCACACAGAGAAAGAAGTAGAGATGGTGGGGGGCAGGGGGTCTTCCATCCGCTGGTTCACTCCCCAATTGGCCACAATGGTCAGAGCTGCACCAATCCAAAGCCAGGAGCCAGGAGATTCTTCCAGGTCTCCCATTTGGGTGCAGGGGCCCAAGGACTTGGGCCATCTTCTACTGCTTTCCCAGGCCATAGCAGAGAGTTGGATGGGAAGTGGAGCAGCTGGGACTCAAATCGGCATCCATATGGGATGCAGGCACTGCAGGTGGCAGCTTTACCCACTACACCACAGTGCCGGCCCCGCGTACACTGGTTCTTTACCAAATGCCTGCAACCCAGAAAAAGCTGAAAGCTCTGAGCCAGAAACTCAATCCAGGTCTCCCATGTGGGCGGCAGAAATGCAATCACTTGAAGCATCACCCGGTCTCCCAGGGTCTGCATTAGCAGGAAGCTGGAGTCAGGAGCCAAGAATTGAGCATTTGATGTGGAATGTGAGCAGCTTAAGCAGTACCTTAGCTGCTGGGATAAATGCCTCCCCTTATGAATTTCTTGGTGTTATGTTTTAATTATATTTTTTGCATTTACTTATATCTTTATTAGTAATGTGTAGAAATTTTATCTCCTTTTAACTTTAGTGAGATTTGTAAAAACTTTACTGGCATTTTAAAAATACGATAATTTATTTGAAAGAGTTACAGAAAAGAGGGAGAGGGAGAGGGAAGGAGAGAGGAAGAGAGAGAGGTCTTCCATCCATTGGTTCTTTCTCCAAATGGCTGCAATGGTCAGGGCTGAGCCAAGCCAAAGCCAGAAGCCAGGAACCAGGAGCTTCATCCAGGTCTCCCAAGTGGATACTAGAGCACAAGCATCTGGGCCATCTCCTGTTACTTTTCTAGACTCATTGTCAGGGAACTGGATTGGAGGTGGAACCACTGGGACTCCAACAGGTGCCCATAAGAGATGCCAGTGTCACAGGTGGCAGCTTAACCTGCTACACAACACCAGCAGCAATTACTGGTATTTTTAAATGCATTTTTTAAAAATAGTTTACGAGCTTGGTTAAAAATAAAATGGCACTAAGGAGCCTATAAGAAAATACAAAGGTTTTTGTCCTTTCCATCCTCACCTTTTCTAATCCCCCTCTCAAGAGACAGCCTCTGCAAACTTCTTGTCTCCCACACCACTAATCTGTATTCTGATATTTATTAATCATCTGAGGCAATATGAAATGGTTCCTTAATGTGTTGGATTAAGCTCCATCCCTTTCATATCTTCTTTTTATTGTAGTTTATTTGGAACACCATTGTGTACCAACTGTATTTTCCCACTTTTCCCCCTCAAAGTTAATAACTGCTTTGACCTTTCATTTTCTTGGTTTTCTTTATCCCATCACATGTTCTTTCCACAATTCCAATACCCTATTAGTACAATTATGCACATTGTCATTGCAATCCCTCTGGAGACATCAAGTTTTCTTTAAATTTGATGGTTGATTTCTGTATCTACTGTTCAGCAATCACCCGGGAATTTTCCTTTGCTTCCATTCGTGGAATTCTTTTTGCCTATTGTTCTGATTGAATTTCCTACTTATGGAATTTTATGCCATCTTCACTTTCCATTTGCTCTGTTTCTTTTGTATAGTACATCCACCAATAGATCCATCTGACTGAAAAGGTGATACAGTGTCACAGGTTTGCTCATAACACCCTTCAAAATACCTGTGTCTTGAGTCACTCAGATCCAAAGTGAACTATTGGCTGTTGGCTATGTTTGACCCATAGTTGTCCTGCTGGAATCCCCATCTGGAGCCTCATCACATTTCTGCTCTGTTTTGGAGCTTTTTGTTTCTGTTCATTCTGTGCTTCACTCTTGGATTCTTTCTCATTTTCAGATACTGTGGGTGTCCCAAGTGATGACTTAACCCACAGCTCCACAATGCCCATTCCAAAAGCTCTCTTTTTATACTTATTTCTTAGATATAATAACTTATTTTTCATCTGATATTAATAACAGGTTTTTTGCAAATATCCTTCTCTCTGCAAATATTCAGTTTTCTCCAAGTTACTCTCATTCAGTCTGGTAGATCAAAGCGCTGAGTGATAGGTCTCAGCAGGTTGGTAGTGCCTATCCATTTTCATCTCCATTATCAGTGAACTGGGAGCACTGATGGTTCCATGTGATTAGGTCTTTATACTTGAACTGGTCTTACCTGATTTTAAAATGTCCTATGCAGAAGGAAAAGGTATGGATTGTAGACAAGTAAAAGGTTGAAGAGTAGGAAAAGGAGTGGAGATTTGCATCAGGAGAGAGTAGATTATGCTTTAATACCAAACAATTCTCCCAAATCTCAAAGACTTGACACAGTGAATGATTTATTTCTTACAGTACAAAGTGGGAAGAGAAGAGTAAATGTGTTAAATCGTACACTGACAGCCTCCAAAAACTTCAGCCCAAACACTTTTCACATTTTATTGGCCAAAGGATATTGCATGGTTAAACACAATGAAAAAAGAATTAGAATGAAATGTTACAATGTTTCTAAGAACTGAAATATTTGTAACTTGTTCTAATGACAATCCATTTCAACAATCAACCATCAGTAGTTAATGGTTTTTACTTTACCCTACTCATATTACCCTTGTCCTCAATTTTACCAATAGAACCTGGAATATAATGACCCCTCCTTTTGTACTTGTAAGAAAATGAAGGGGCTGCTGTTGTGGTATAGTGGTTCTTGCAGTACCTACACCTCATATTAGGATTGGAGTCCTAGATATTTCTGTTTATGATCTAGTTCCATGCTAATGTGCTTGGGAAAATAGTAGTTTATGGCCCAGGTACTTGGGCCTCTATCATCCACACAGGAGATCTGAACTGGGTTCCTCGTTCCCACATTCAGCCTGGCCCATGACCTGCCATTGTGGCCATTTGGGGATTAAACTAGTGGATGGAAGATCTCTCCCTGTTTCACTCTCCTTGTGTCACTCTGCCTTTCAAATTAATTAATTAACTAATCACTTTTTTAAAAAGAAAAATTCTCAATATTTCTGATAAGGTCAGAGTGGTAGGTTATGCAGTGACTGGTATGAGAGAAACATGATCTAAATGCTAGAAATTTATCTGCTTCTCAGGCAGTTTTAACAGAATGCTTCTTACCTGAAAACCTATCATCACTTCTAGAATGTCTGATGCCTCTAAAAGTTCTTTACTCTAAACAGGATTGGTTCTCAGATTTTCCAATGTTAGTAATGGTAATTGGGGCCGGCGCCGTGGCTCACTAGGCTAATCCTCCGCCTGCGGTGCCGGCACACCGGGTTCTAGTCCCGGTCGGGGTGCCAGATTCTGTCCTGGTTGCCCCTCTTCCAGGCCAGCTCTCTGCTGTGGCCAGGGAATGCAGTGGAGGATGGCCCAAGTGCTTGGGCCCTGCACACCATGGGAGACCAGGATAAGTACCTGGCTCCTGCCATCAGATCAGCGCGGTGCGCCGGCTGCAGCGCACCGGCCGCAGTGGCCATTGGAGGGTGAACCAATGGAAAAGGAAGACCTTTCTCTCTGTCTCTCTCTCTCACTGTCCACTCTGCCTGTCAAAAAAATAAATAAATAAAAATAAAAAAAATAAAATGGTAATTGGTTTCTCAGGTCTACTAAATTATCTATCTGATTTCCAGCTTCTAAAGTTCTTGTCTGTTGTCTTCCATATTATTCAATTCATCTTTGTAGATTTATTTTTTTAAAATATGTAGGCTTTTTGGTAGTGAAGTTATAGAGGAGACAAATTAAAGGTGCACGTCCAATCCAGCAATGATAGATAGATTAATAGACAGACAGATAGATGATAGAGATGATAGATATTATTTAATTTAGAGGCAGAGGGAGAGAGAGACAGGGAGCACTCTCATCTACTGATTTACTCTCCAAATATTGGCAATGGCTGGGACTGGGTCAGGCCAAAGCCAGGATCTGGGGCACATTGTAGGTCTCCTATGTGAATGGTGGGAACTCAATTGTTTGAGCAATCATGGCTTCTCCCAGAATCTACATTGGTGTGAAGCTGCAGTCATAATCAGAGCCAGAAATCAAACTCAGATGCTCTGATGTGGGGTGCAGGCATCTTAACTGTTAGGGTATTATCTGCTCTTCATGTATGTATTAAAAAAAATCAGAATATAGCCAGAAGCTGAATCATAGTCTCTTTCTTTCTCCCTTAACATGTAACACAGTAAGTCAAATTTCCATTTTGTAAACACAAATTGAAAGGGCTCAATATCACCTCCTACATTTAGTTTTTAAAAATGTTTATTTTCATCTACTTAAAATGCAGAGTGACATATAGAAAAACAGAGACCTTAGTAGACCTCAAATGCCTGCAATACTCAGGGCTGGGCCAGCCCCAAACCAGGAGCCCAGAACTCCATCTGGGTATCCTACATGGATGGAAAGGGGCCAAGCACATAAGCCATCATCTGCTGTTTGCCAGGAATCATTATCAGGAAGCTAGATTGGAAGCAGAGCAGCTAAGACTTGAACTAGCACTCTGATATGAGATGCAAGTGACCCAAGCAGTGGCTTCATTCTGTGTACCAAAACACCCATCCCTACATCCTACATTTTAAAAGATGAAAACTGGGCCAGCGCTGTGGCTCAATAGGTTAATCCTCCGCCTGTGGCACCGGCACACTGGGTTCTAGTCCCGGTCGGGGCGCCAGATTCTGTACTGGTTGCCCCTCTTCCAGGCCAGCTCTCTGCTGTGGCCAGGCAGTGCAGTGGAGGATGGCCCAAGTGCTTGGGCCCTGCACCCCATGGGAGACCAGAAGAAGCACCTGGCTCCTGCCATCGGATCAGCGCGGTGCACCGGCCGCAGCACGCCAGCAGTGGCGGCCATTGGAGGGTGAACCAACGGAAAAGGAAGACCTTTCTCTCTGTCTCTCTCTCTCTCTCTCTCTCACTGTCCACTCTGTCAAAAAATAAATAAATAAATAAAAATTTTAAAAAAGATGAAAACTGTCTCACGTATTCCAGATAGCATAATGTTAAGTGAATAAGGCAAATAGGATAAACAACAAGTGAGTTTTTTATGAAAATAAAGAATAAAACATTTTGTTATAGTTTTGAAGTTATTTAGTGGGATGACAAAAATGGAAATTAATTCAATGCTCAGTCACCTATATTCATTTCAATATATATTTTTCAAAGTCTTTAAGATAAAAATTCTTCTCCATGAGGACATTATTGTGTAGTAAAGAAGAGAGATCATTGATTTTTCTGAGCAGACTACCCAACAATGAAAGGAAAACTGGATTCAATGAAGAAGAAACATAACTGAAATGATGGAAAAACTGAATCTTCAAACTGAGAAGGCACTAGACAGAGAATCTATTTTGGAAAATGATGGAATAGACAATCCACATGACCTTCCTGTAGAAAACAAACAATCATGGACAACATTTAAAAAAAAAGAAACTTCAAAAATATAGAAAAGCCAAAACTACGGTAGAAATCACAGTGAAAAAAGTCCAATTCTTGATGGGAGCCTATGATTAAGGGATAGTGATATATTTGGGGAAAAAAACTTGTTATGCCCTCACAGCATTTGAAAATATTTGTCCTTAGCTTTGATCAGAGCCATGTGGGATTAAAGAAATATAAACCAAGGCTCAGGAGTAGTTAAAGTTGCAGCATACAGAAAGATCTTCTCCCTGTTAAAAGATGCTTAATGTGTTTACACCCATAATGTAAACACAGTGGAAACTCCAATAATTTTAAACCTCCCTCTCTCTCCAACTTCACGACCATCACACAGAGCCAAAGAAAAAGAAAAGGGAAGAAAATATGCTTGGAAAGTTGTAGCTTCAGATTGGTCCTTGTATATATTTGTGATATGAATTGTATGGTTTGTGTTGCAAGGAAACTCAAGCCATAAACTTGGTTTGATGGGCTACCTACTGATAGTGTTTCCATTATTCTGACTTAAACAATGAAAATCCATTCTGAAGCATGGATTCTTGCAGACATTTCCATTATTTTTGGTATTAAATGTAGTCTAGGCTGTACAGTCATATGAATTTCCAAGGGTAAAAAACCACATGAGTCACATAAAGAAACAAACACAACATGAATGAGAAGACATGAAAACAAAATAAGCAGATAGGTCCACACACACTTCAGATATTAGGAGTGTCAAATAGGGGCCAGCGCTGTGGCATAGTGGGTAAAGCTGCTTCCTTCAGTGCTGGCATCCCATATGGGCACTGGTTCGAGAACCATCCAGCTCTCTGCTATCCCCTGGGAAAGCAGTGGAAGATGGCCCAAGTCCTTGGGCCCCTGCACCCGTGTGAGAGACCTGGAGGAAGCTCCTGGCTCCTGGCTTCAGATCGGCACAGCTCTGGCCACTGCAGCCAATTGGAGAGTGAACCATTGGATGGAAGACCTCTCTCTCTCTCTGCCTCTCTTTCTCTCTCTGTGTAACTTTGACTTTCAAATAAATAAATAAATCTTTTAAAAAAGAAGTGTCAAACAGATTTTAAATACTAGTTATGTCTCTAAAATATGTAAATAAAAATGTCATACTTGCAACAGAGTGAAAAGGCTTACTAAGTTCAGGAAACAGTGATAATTAGTAAGACATAATCTGGTAAAGATAATGAATGTCAATGGTAGAAGCAAATTACCCACAGGTGAGGAAAACAGGCTCCAGACATTTAATACAACATTTAATACCAAAAATAATGGAAATTTCTGCAAGGTTCTGAGGGAAACAGATTATGACTAAGATGTTGCTCAAGTATGAATATAAATGAAGGAAAGAATTCATAAAAGACTGAATTAGAGTCATGAGTGCTTACTAAAAAAATTGCTTTAGGATGAAATTCAGCTAACCTGCAGATGAATGGAGAACCTATGTTGAAAGAATTAATGTAATATTTGATGTAAAAAAGTCTTTGAGGAAAAGAAAGTTGAGTGAAGAATTTTATACCCAGCTATATTTTACTTCTCAAACAGCACCCATAAACACTCTGAAGAACTACATCTGATGAAATGAAGCAAGTCAAGAGATAAAACAGCAATAATGATTCAGTCATGGAGAAGTTGGTGGAACAGGACTGACAATAAGGATTATATTGAATTACACTTTGAGCCCCTGAGTTTATCTCAATTTAAATGATGGAGATAAAAGGTTAAATATGAATCTATAAAAATGGAAAGAATCAGAGAAGTGGAAAGAAAGGAGAGAGGAGGGGAGGGGAGGGAAAAGGAGAGGAGAGGAGAGGAGAGGAGAGGAGAGGAGAGGAGAGGAGAGGAGAGGAGAGGAGAGGAGAGGAGAGGAGAGGAGACAGTCACTAGCATTTTGGAAAATGCAAAGCTTTGGTAACTGACAGATTTCCTTTCTTTCTGCTTGCACATGAGAAGTGGGAAAGTTTACAAACAGAAAATAAAATATAGCTAAAGTAATGGTTCATATTTTGGATCAAAGAAGAGGCAAAAAAAACCCACAACATTTGACTAAAAATCTATATGAGTACTTAAATCTGAGAATTCCTTTCTTAGTCAGTACAGCAAGCTGCCTTGTACTTTCTTATAGCGACAGAAAATGGGAGTATAATATCTGCAGAAATTAAATATAAAAGCCTGTGGACTGACAGACACCAGCACAGGATTCAGACATTAATGAGAAGAGGGTGAAATATTACATGCTAATTAGGATTTCTTCCCCAAGCCAAGGAGTTCTCAAAGTGCTGGAGGCCACCTTTACAGTATCTACCCTATCTCTGTCATCCTTATGCTCATTGAATTAATTCCCCAAGAATGATGTGGGCTCAAGAGAAAAGATTTACAGATACTGACTTTTGGTCCCTAAACAAAAATGTTTCCAGGACTGGAGTTGTGTACAGCAGGTTGAACTGCCACTTGCAATGCTGGCATCCCACACTGGAATGATGATTCAGGTCCCAGCTGCTCTGTTTCAGATCTAGCATCCTCAAATGTGGCTGGGAAGCCAGCAGAAGATGGCACAAGTACTTGGGTCCTTGTCACCCATGTGTGAGACCTGAATGGAGTTCCAGGCTCCTGGATTCAGCCTGGCCCAGCCTTGGCTGTTGCGCCATTTGGGGGAGTGAACCAGCAGGTAAAAGTCATCTCCCTCCTTTCGTTACCAAAACATACAATGACTAGTCAGTTTTTAGGGTGTATTAAAAATTAAAAACAGATACCCAAGCAGTGTAATAAAGAAAATCACTAACTTGAAGGCAGAGATCAAAGCTGAAGAATGTAACTCAGAAGACAAATGAATGCTAGAATCAGAAGAAAAAAATTAAAAGATAAAATAAATATCTTCAGAGGTATAAGGAAAGACCTATCCTATGTGATAAAACAAAAAAAGAAAGCTGTATATAAATTAATGACATAAATGTAAGGACTAAAACCAAAGAATCCTTACAAAAAATACAGGTATAAAATTTCATACCCTGGACTAGGTGATGATTTCTTAGATATAAATCCTTAAGGTCCAAGCAACCAAAGAGAAAATAGATTGGATCAAAAAAAAAAAAAAAAAGAAAGAAAGAAAGAAACAAAAAACTTTGTGCTTCAAAGGAAATTATCAATAAAATGGAAAAGACAACATACAGGGCAGGAGAAAATATCTGTAAATCATAGTATTTAGAATATGTAAAGAATGACTACAATTCAACAATAAAAAGACTAGAAAGTCACCTATAATATCAGCAAAGAATTGGAGTAGATATTTCTCCAAAGATGATATTCCAGTGGCCCATAATCATCTGAAAAAATGCCCATCACAACATCACTCATTTGGGAAATGCCAATGAAACCCAAAAAAGATACCACTTCACACCTTTTAGGATGGTTACAGGCAAAAAGAAAATAATAAATGTTCAAGATATAAACAAATTATAACCCTCAAACAAGCTAGACAGGAATGCAAAATTGTAAAATCACTTTGAAAAACAGTTTGACAATTTCTTAAAAGGTTACAAAGGTTATAGAGTAACTATATGATCCAGAAATTCCAATCCTTGATATATACTCAAGAGAATTGAAAACATGTGCCCACACACAAACTTAGAGTGCTCATTACCATCATTATTAAAAATAACTAGAAAGTAGAACAAATCTGAATGTCCAACGACTGATGAATTGACAAACAATATAGTCCATCCATAACATGGAATATTATTCAGTCATAAAAAGGAATGAGGTAATGATAGATACTATAATATTGGTGAATCTCAAAACCATCATGTGAAAATAAATAAGCCAGACACAGAGCCACATACAGTATGATTCCATTTATATGAAATGTCCAAAACAGGCAAATCCAGAGACAGAAAGAATATTAATGATAACTAGGAGCTAGAAGTGACCGCTGATGGGTACTAGGTTTCTTTTGGGGACAATAAAATTGGAAAATGTCCTGAAATTAGGTGGTGGTACAATAATTATGCAAGCTTTTAAATATGTTAAAACTCATTGAATTATATTTTAAAGCTAAATGTTATGACATGTAAACTTTATCTCACTAAAGAAATAGAAACTGGGACTGGTGGTGTGGCACAGCAGGTTAAAGCTACAGCCTGCAGTGCTGGCATCCCAAATGGGCACCTGTTTGATTCTCAGCTTCTCCACTTTCAACCCAGCTGCCTGCTAATGTGTCTGGAAAAGCAGTAGAAGATGGCCCAAGTCCTTGGGCCCCTGTATCCACATGGGAGACTGGTAAGAAGCTCCTGGAAAGCCTGATTGTTGAGGCCATTTGGGGAATGAACCATTAGATGGAAAATCTCTGTGTCTCCTTCTCTCTCTCTGTAACTCTGCCTTTCCAATAAGTAAATAAGTCTTTTCACAAAATATGGAAGAAATGAGGAAAAAACCAAAATTCTTAAAAGTGGTTACCTCTGGATGGTCAGATTTGAATGCAAATTTTTAGAAATGTAGCATTTTGTGACTTTAGGTTAAAAATTTTAAATATAAAATCATGGGACTTTTCCTTTCAAAATATACAAATATTACAAACATTTATAAGGCAGCATCAGATAAAAATGCAAAAAGTCTGAGTGATGAGAAGGAGGTAGAGGTATAAGAATGGTAGTGTATTGATTTTTAAGTGGGTAGTTAAGAGATGCTAGTATCTTCACATGGATCAAAATATTTTTAACCTTGTTATCTAAGCTTAAGTTCCATAGCTTCACATTTTGTTTTATTATATTCAATCTGAAAGTTTTAATTAACTATCAAGTTATTATAGATCTGTTTCATAAAATTATTAGTCTATTCTTATATGCATCATACAAATCATTAAAACGATTTTGACTTAATTATTTCTGAATGGTATAATAATGTTAACATCCTTTCTTCTTTGTATTCACTATATATGTTTGAGTCATGTTACATACTATTATATTTTCATTGAATTTTTATTGAAAAAGTGGACTCAAGTCTTCCATCTTTTGGTTCATCTTCCAAATGCCTGCCACAGCTGGGTCTGGGTCATGCCAACCTAGGATCCTGGAACACAATCCTAGTCTCCCACAAGGGTGGCAGGGACACAAATATTTGAGCCATCACTTGCTGCCTCCCAAGGTGTTGCATTAGCAAGAATCAGAAGTGGAGCTGGTACTCCAACCCAGGCACTCTAATATGGGTGTAGGAGTAGCAAACTGCATCTTAACTTCTGAATCAAATGCCTGCCTTTATATATTTTTTCTGAATATTTATTTATTTGAAAGGCAGAGCAACAGAGAGAGAAGAGAAGGGAGAGGGAGAAGGGGGAGAGAAAGATCCTCCACTCACTGGCTCATTTCCTAAATGCTCACAGCAGTCAGGGCTGGACCAGGCAGAAGCCAGGAGCCCCAAAATCCACCCAGGTTTCCCATGCGGGTGTCTGGGATCTAAACACTTGTGGGATCACTCCCCACCACCCTAGGCATGCTGGCAGGAAGCTGGATCCAAGTCAGACAAGCCAGGACTCTGACACTCTTACATAGGGTCCCAAGTGATAAGCCTAATCAACCACACCATAGCACCTGTCCTCTATATATTATTTTTAAAGAATGAGAGTCATTATTTACATGCCAAAGCCATTTATTAGGAAAAAGTAGCCACAAGTCGACCAACACTTTTTCTATCCTTTTTCTTAATGTAACAGGAATTGAATCATTTAGAATAACAGTAGATGTTCTACTGTTCAAAGAAATTACTCAGTTTCGAAAACAACATCCAAATAGATACTGGTCCAGTTGAGGAAAAACAAGAGTGTATGGAAATGACAAAACAGAAATCCAACAATTTATCTTACTAGAATTTTTGCATAAATGAAAAATATTTTTAGAACTCAAAGCCATCATTTATAATAGCTCATGCTGATGCTACTCAGGAAGTCTAGAACACAGTTCTCTTAATCCTAACAATACATCAACGAACAAGCTCAAACAGCAGAAACTTGAAAACATCTGTGACTTCTGAAAATCTCACCGAAAGAAAATTCAGGAAACACGATTTCTCTTTGTGTCCACATGCATATGAGATGCCCAACATGGGAAAAGTAAAATAAGTCAATAGGTTGAAATAGCTATATAACAGTAATCACTGTTTGAATGTGCACACCATTTATGGGAATGAAAAGGTTAGAAAATTCCAGGTTAGTGAATACCATGAATTATCACATGCTCTCAAAGTTAGATTCCTAATGCCAAATGATTCCTAAAGTTAGAGTCTTCCTCAGTGTTCATATCCACCCTCTCTCCTAGGAAGTTAGAAAGTACAGGTTTCGTGAACTTGAACTCCCCAGTCCCAGCGTCGCCCGTCAGGCGCACCTCGTACTGGTAGCTGTGCGACAGCGTCCCGCCGCCGCTCACGTCCAGCAGCGGCCCCGGGAAGCGGCCCTCGCCACCCGCGCCGCCGCCGCCGCCGCCAACCGCACACCCCGCCCCCACACCGACACCGCCCGCGCCCGCGCCCGCGCCCGCGCCGCACAGCCGCGCCGCCACCAGCGCCAGCACACTCAGCACCAAGAGCGACGACACCGCCGCCAGCGCCACCACCAGCTGCACCGTGAGCGAGTCGGGCCGCGCCGCCTCGGCCGCCGCCGCCGCCTCGGGCAGCGCCAGGTAGGGCTGCGAGAAGCCGTCCACCAGCAGCACGTGCAGCGTGACGCTGGCCGACAGCGGCGGCTCGCCGTGGTCGCGCACCAGCACCAGCAGCCGCTGCCTGGGCGCGTCGCGCTCGCTCAGCGGCCGCGCCGTGCGCACCTCGCCGCTGTGCGCCCACACGCCGAACAGCCCGGGCTCCGTGGCCTTGAGCAGCTCGAACGACAGCCAGGCGTTCTGGCCCGCGTCGCCGTCCACCGCCACCACCTTGGTCACCAGGTAGCCCGCGTCGGCCGCGCGCGGCACCAGCTCGGGGCAGGCGGCCGAGCCGTTGGCCGGCGGGTACAGCACGGCCGGCGCGTGGTCGTTGCGTCCAGCAGCTGCACGCGCACGCGCGCCTCGCTGCTCAGCGCCGGGGAGCCGCGGTCGGCGGCGCGCACGCCGAACTCGAAGGCGCGCAGGGCCTCGTAGTCGAGCGCGCGCAGCGCGTACAGCTGCCCGCTGTCCGCGTGCACCGACACGAGCGCCGCCACGTCGGGCTGCTGTGGCGGCGGCAGCAGCGAGTAGGTCACCTGCGCGTTGGCGCCCGCGTCCCTGTCGCTGGCGCTCACGGAGCCGATGAGCAGCCCGGGGCTGTTGTTCTCGCGCACCAGCAGGGTGTAGGCGGCCTGGCTGAAGGCCGGGGCGTTGTCGTTCACGTCGGACACCTGCACCGCGACGTGGTGCCGGGTGGTCAGCCTGGGCGTGCCCAGGTCCGACACGGTGATGGTGATGTTGTACTCGGCCCTGGTCTCCCTGTCCAGCGCTCCATCGGTTACTAGAGTGTAGAAATTTTCTAAGGTCGGTTTCAGAAGAAAGGGGAGATCTTCTTCAATGGAGCACACCATTTTTCCACTGTCTCCTGAGTCTGGATCTGATATTCCAAACACAGCGACCACGGTTTGCGGGGAGTTTTCGGGGATGTCCGTGGTGAGTACTGACATGGTCAGCTCGGGGGCGTTGTCATTCACGTCTATCACGTCTATGGCCACAGTGCATTTTCCTGAGAGACCTCCGCCGTCTGAGGCTTCAATTTCCATTCGGTAAGACTGAGTTTCCTCAAAATCCAGTAGTCTTTTTAATCTGATTTCTCCTGTGGCTGTATTTATTTCAAAGGCCTGCATGATTTGATTTGAGGATTGAAAAAATGAGTAGGAGAGCTCGCCGTATGTCCCAGCGTCCACGTCTCTAGCGGACACAGTGGTGATGAGGGCACCTATGGGGCTGTTCTCTGGGACCTGCACATGGTGCAGCTGCTGAGCAAACTCGGGGGCGTTGTCATTGACGTCTAGGACTAGGATGAGGACCTGCGAAGTCCCCGTCCTGGGCGGTGACCCGCCGTCCAGCGCTGTGAGGGTTAACCTGAACTCTGGCTGCGCCTCCCTGTCCAGGGCTTTGTACAGCTCCAGCTCCGGGTATTTCCGGCCATCGCTGTGATTGCGGGTGAAAAGGTGGAAATGGGAATTGGTGCTGATTGTGTAGGTCTGAACCGTGTTGCTACCCACATCCGGATCTTGAGCTATTTTCAAAGGAAACAGAGACCCAGCGTGGCTGCTTTCCAAGATTTTGAGGAGGGTTTCATTTTCCAAGAATTCTGGAGCATGATCATTTACATCTTGCAGCTGTAGTTCACCTTGAATAAACTGCACTGGGTTTTTCAGCAATACCTGGAAGTGCAGTATACATGGATCCGTGTCACCACACAACTCCTCCCGGTCCATTTGTTCTTTGACGAGCAAATTTCCACTCTTCGGTTCCAGCTGCAAGTGCTGTTTGTTCCCTTTGGAAAGAATCCGGGCGCCCCGCGCGGCCAGCTCCCCTTCTCCCAGCCCCAGATCTTTTGCTAGGTTGGCCACGAAAAAGCCACTCTCCCTCTCTTCCAGAACAGAATACTTCAGGGTCGCGCTGCCCGCCCCCCACAATAGTAATAAGAACGTAATGGCGGTCACTTGCCTTTTCTGCAGCGCTTCGGGGAGCGGCGTCGCCATCGTTCCTCAGGGTCCAAAGGCGCAGTCTTTAATCACCACAAATGCTCTAAGCCAGCTCGGTTAAATGTAGCGATCTTGAGTTGTTCTCCTTGACGAGGTAAGAATAGCTACCTCTCTGAAGCCTTCCGTCTCCAGTAGTGTAAAATGTTTCCTTTTCAAGCTCCTAGACTGTTCAGTTTTTAAGGAGGCACGGATTCTGCATCGTTTTTTCATTTTCTTAGCTTGCAGCGCCACCAAGCGTTCTGCTTTACAACTTCAGATAATTTTCGCTTCAAAGCACGTTTGTAAAGAAATGCATTGTGGCTTAACAGGTCACAGCAGATTATAACCCCCCCTTTTCCTACCTGTTCCGCAGTCCTGTTCAGGTAACAAACAGTAGTTGTGAAATCAGAAGTGTTACCCATGTCTGTATTCACTTTCTTTATAAATGTACACGTTCAGTACATAAAATTCTGCTGAGATAAATTTGTATTCACTTAATAAGTATCTGTGCCGGCACTCTTTTAGCTTCTTGAGATAACGCAGGTAAATACAACACAAAAATCCTTGCTCTTGGAGAGTTTACATTTTTATTACAAAAATGCTGATCTGTTTTTGTTAGACAAATTTATGGATTTTAAAATTCTACTCGCAAATTGTAATGTGCCTGTAACTTCCGAAATAAAATTTAAGTGTGATTTCTTGTCAGTCTTTGGGCTATGTAACCCTTGGAAATATTTTTTCTTTATAAATTCAATGTGTGTAATGCCCAGTGAAGGTGAGGGAAAACAACCATTTGTTTTATTAGAAACCAGGTAAGCTCAGAATCTAGGCAACATCTTTTCTACAAACATGAAGAAGATAAAAGAATCAAAACTACACATTCTGAGGAAGGATTTGACCGATCTGCACTGGACTGGGCGCCCGTCCCTGTGTGTATCCTCTGGGACTATGAGGAAGGGGTTGTGGAAGATCCCCAGTGCGCCCACTGAAATGGTGGCTGGAGTAGGAACAGTGGAGAAAGCACCCCCCCCCCCAAGAAGAATCCTATTCCAAGGAACACAGTAAATATCTGAGAAAGTAAAACAGTAACCAGCTGGTAGCCATCCATGTCAGTTCACTTATTTGGCCACAAAACACAGCCAAATATACTTTAGATAGTCCTAGTTCCATTTTAATTAAATATGAAAATAAAAATAAACTCAATTATCATGTGACTATAAATTGCCTGCTCTTGAAGTTAAAGAGTTTTTTTTTTTTTTTCATAAAATATGGCAGAATCACCGTGTACACAAATGACCAAACTTTGGCTAAACTGCAAGAGTAAATAATTTGTGTTAATTACAGACAGATGATGCTTACACAGCACAAGAAGGAAAAATCTTACATTGATAAATGGCCACTAAATCTGACTTAGATCTTGGCAGATAGCACCCACAGAAGCTTGAGGAAGCAAGAGAAAGAGTATGAAAAATCGAAGTTGACAAAACAATACTTTTGAGTTTTTCTATTTTTAAACAAAGGAGACAAAATGTCTTCTCAAGCATTCTATGTTTTGTAATAAACGGTGAGTGGAAGGGTGTTTTCTGTTTTGAAGGAAAACATAACTCATTTAACTAGGGGATGCGGAAAGTTCTTGGGAAAATGGAGTTGAATGGCAACTTTATTTTCTGCAAAAAATATTGAAATCTATGCATTTCTTCATAATATGAATTTTCATGAAATTTAAAAATAACCTTTCTATTTAATAATTTCAATGGTGTTTTAATATAACAACATATTAGCATTTCTAGACTCATAGGAAATGCAAAATTTTCATTCAGCTAATATTTATTCGAAAGTTACAATTGACATGGTGTTTCTTCAAAAGACCATCATGTTTTTAAATGAAGTTCACAGTAATGTTTATATTATAGAAATATGCGCTACTACCGTATACATATAGCTGTGAAAGGCCCTGTGAGCTTCAGCCATCTTTAGTTCTGTACACATGGAGAGGTTACCAGCAAGTTAACTTCTATTGGAAAATTAAGCTCAAATACATTTTAAGAATATTCCAATGCAGCAGTATTGAAACAACTGTAGCCAACTGTTAGAAAAACAATCTCAAAAAAGCAATTTGGAACATTCCCTAAAAGGTGACAATTTCAAATTTTTTAACTTGTGCAAAAAGTGTTAGTTTCTAAGTTGTCAAAAACAGAGAAGTGGGAGTACCTTAAAACTATAAAACAAATTAGAGAAAAACTGTGTATCCCTAGCATCTTTGTAAAAACTTGAACCTAAAATGGTAGTAAAATAAGCAAGACAAGAACAATCAATTAACATGCATCAGCAAGTAACTTTAAAAGACGTCTCCAAACAAGGTTTAGTAGAATACTTAACTGAATGGGAAGCTGTTCCGAATGCTGAGACGTTCCTCCACGTCGCTCCCAGAGAGCTGCGGAGGGAAGTTGGGGCTAATGGGCTTCATGAACTTGAACTCCCCGGTCCCAGCGTCGCCCGTCAGGCGCACCTCGTACTGGTAGCTGTGTGACAGCGTCCCGCCGCCGCTCACGTCCAGCAGCGGCCCCGGGAAGCGGCCCTCCGCACCCGCGCCGCCGCCGCCGCCGCCGCCGCCGCCGCCGCCAACCGCACACCCCGCCCCCACACCAACACCGCCCGCGCCCCCGCCCGCGCTCGCGCCGCACAGCCGCGCCGCCACCAGCGCCAGCACACTCAGCACCAAGAGCGACGACACCGCCGCCAGCGCCACCACCAGCTGCACCGTGAGCGAGTCGGGCCGCGCCGCCTCGGCCGCCGCCGCCGCCTCGGGCAGCGCCAGGTAGGGCTGCGAGAAGCCGTCCACCAGCAGCACGTGCAGCGTGACGCTGGCCGACAGCGGCGGCTCGCCGTGGTCGCGCACCAGCACCAGCAGCCGCTGCCTGGGCGCGTCGCGCTCGCTCAGCGGCCGCGCCGTGCGCACCTCGCCGCTGTGCGCCCACACGCCGAACAGCCCGGGCTCCGTGGCCTTGAGCAGCTCGAACGACAGCCAGGCGTTCTGGCCCGCGTCGCCGTCCACCGCCACCACCTTGGTCACCAGGTAGCCCGCGTCGGCCGCGCGCGGCACCAGCTCGGGGCAGGCGGCCGAGCCGTTGGCCGGCGGGTACAGCACGGCCGGCGCGTGGTCGTTGGCGTCCAGCAGCTGCACGCGCACGCGCGCCTCGCTGCTCAGCGCCGGGGAGCCGCGGTCGGCGGCGCGCACGCCGAACTCGAAGGCGCGCAGGGCCTCGTAGTCGAGCGCGCGCAGCGCGTACAGCTGCCCGCTGTCCGCGTGCACCGACACGAGCGCCGCCACGTCCCGCTGTCCGCGTGCACCGACACGAGCGCCGCCACGTCGGGCTGCTGTGGCGGCGGCAGCAGCGAGTAGGTCACCTGCGCGTTGGCGCCCGCGTCCCTGTCGCTGGCGCTCACGGAGCCGATGAGCAGCCCGGGGCTGTTGTTCTCGCGCACCAGCAGGGTGTAGGCGGCCTGGCTGAAGGCCGGGGCGTTGTCGTTCACGTCGGACACCTGCACCGCGACGTGGTGCCGGGTGGTCAGCCTGGGCGTGCCCAGGTCGGACACGGTGATGGTGATGTTGTACTCGGCCCTGGCCTCCCTGTCCAGCGCTCCATCGGTTACCAGGGTGTAGAAGTTCTCTACGGATGGTCTTAGAAAGAAGGGGAGATTATCATCTATAGAACAAACGACGTCTTGGTTGTGTCCGGAGTCTGCGTCTGAAACACTGAACACTGCCACTATGACCTCTGGCGCATTTTCAGGGATGGGGCTGGTGAGTGAGGACAGGGTCAGCTCGGGGGCGTTGTCATTCACATCCAGGACTTTGACGATTAACGAGCATTTCCCTGTTAGGCCCCCACCGTCTGTGGCCTCAATATCCACATGATGAATTCGAGATTTTTCAAAATCCAAAGTCTGTCTCAGTCGAACTTCTCCTGTGATTTCATTTATTTCAAACGGTTGATTGACGTCATCTACCTGAAATAGCGCATAAGACACCTCCCCAAAGGATCCTGCATCTGAATCCCTCGCTGAAACAGTAATAACGCGAGAGCCCAGGGGGCTGTTCTCAGGCACCTGTGCCTCATAGCGCTCCTGAGCAAACTGCGGGGCGTTGTCATTGCTGTCCAACACCAGTACCTTAATCTTCGTGGTCCCTGACCGGGGCGGAGACCCGCCATCCAGCGCCGTGAGGGTCAGTCCTAGCTGGGGCTGCTCCTCACGGTCCAACGCTTTGTCTAGCACCAGCTCCGGGAGCCTCCTGCCGTCACTGCGATTGCGAGTGACAACGTGGAAGTGAGCATTGGAGCTGATGGTGTAGTTCTGGAGGCCGTTGCTGCCGCTGTCTAAATCCTGTGCCATTTTCAAAGGGAATACCTTTCCTGGCACAGTAATTTCTGATATTTTCAGGACCATTTCTCTGGCAGGGAACTCCGGGGCGTGGTCATTTATATCTCTGACCCGCAAGGCAGCCTGAAAAAACTGCAGAGGGTTCTCCAGCAGCACTTGGAAAGGCAGCACGCAGGGCTCAGCGGAGCCACACAGCTCCTCCCGGTCCAGTTTCTCGTTTAGCAGCAAATCATGGGTCTGCGGGTCAAGCTGCAGATGCTGTCTGTTCCCCTTGAAAACAATCCGGGCGCCCCGTGCAGCCAGCTCTCCCATTCTAAGCCCCAGGTCCTTTGTCAAATTGGCCACAAACGTGCCACTCTCTGACTCTTCCAGTACAGAATACTGCATGAATTCTGAGCCCACCTCCCACAAAAGCAACAATACCATGAGGAGTGCCACTTGCCTTTTCTTGTGCTGCGTTTTTGTTTCCGCCATCCTTGTTGTCACGCCGGAATCCAGAGGAGGAATCCTTCCCAGCTCCTAATCACCACGACCACGCAAGACCCTCTGCAATGTCTGTGCTGTCGACTTTTGATTCGATTCTTATGCGTCCGGCGACAACTGCCTCCCCGGACGCGCCTAGCTTGGATTGCCTTCTGTATTTTTACCTCAGCTTCTGGGTGAAATGGAGTCCACGGAAGCGTTCCAGCTTTCTAGTTTTCATTCATTCTCTTAGCCTGCATCGCCACCATGCGGTCAAGCTAGTAACTTCAGGGGGTGTTTTCAGGTCAACACCATTTCCCACTGCATCTTAGGCTGGTGTGTGAGCCACATGCATAAAAAATTACCGGGGAGCCCTGTCGTTGCCCTTGGGATTTGGTGTTGCTTTCAAAGCCGATTCCTGGGCTCTCTCCAGTTCTGGAATGTAATTCTCCGGTGCTTCTTGTGGGAATCCGCACTTCAGTCTGTCTCCTGAAGTGATTCTTATGCATAAGTGGTGTTTAAGAACCATTCCTTCAGGCAAGGTAAACTTCCTTAGCAGTGCGATTTACATCTGAGAAGCAGTTGCATTTGTGAGTCCCAGAGATATGTTCTATAATTGTCCCCAAAACACATCAACAAGCTATACAGAATGTAAAAGTTGGTTAGCAACCGTAATGTAAAACAAACAGCAAATTCTGTAAGTCACAGGGCTCATGAATGCCTGAGCAATAGACTTACTTTGTCATGCAGTTATGCCTACGCAGGAGAGGGAACAACTGGGCTACCTGCAGGAGAATGGAGATCAAGAGATACCCCTGAGAGAACTAGCTATTCTAAGCAAATCAAGCTATTTAAATGGGGATCTAAGAGTAACCAAGTGTTACTCATCATAAGCATTTTGGGATTCCACTTCATTTTTGTTTGGGTACATTTGGTCATGGTACGGGCTTGTGCATTGTATTCGATTTTTTGTTGAATTGCACTCTTTAATTAAGGTCAAAATATATTACTCTGTTTTAAGAACGTGATGTAATGCAGAAAAATAAGCATTCAAGAATCACCTCCATGATCCTCTCGCAGCAGAGGACATCAAATCCTTTATTAATACGGGCAGATAACCTGATTTGAAATGATGACTGGGGCCAGCCCTGTGGCATAGCTGGCATGCCATATGGGCTCTGATTAGTGCTCCAGCTGCTCCTCTTCCAGTCCACTCTCTCTTTGTGGCCTGGGGAAGCAGTGGAAGACGGCCCAAGTGCTTGGGCCCTGTACCGTGTGGGAGACCCGGAAGAAGCTCCAGGCTCGTGGCATCAGATCAGCTCAGTTCTGGCTGTTGCAGCCATTTGGGAAGTGAACCAGTGGATGGAAGACCTCTCTCTCTCTCTGCCTCTGTCTCTTTATAAATAAATAATTTGGCTTTGGTGTTCCTTTTCAAATAAATAAATCTTTATAAAAAAGACCTTCTGTCTCTGCTTCCCTAACTCTACCTCTCAAATAAATAAAAATCTTTTAAAAAATGAGGTGACTGACAATTTGGTGAATGACATCAATTATGGAACACTATGGCTCGATCCATTCCTATCTCACCAGTTTCTGATTAACTGGAAAATGGATCTGTAAATAACATGTGGCTGAGTGCACACATAAAACAAAACAGGCCAAACATAATTCATTTCAGGATTCACATTTATCAAGAGGTCAAATCAGTTGAGTTCAAGAAAAATTATCTTCAAGTAACACAGCCAAGAAGATAGAAGACCAAAAGTGAGTATTTTTCAAAATACTTCAACTCTAGGTAAAATAAATCTAAATCTAAACAGCTTAGCTCATTTTGTAATTAAAAACCACCTGAGGCTGGCACCGCGGCTCAATAGGCTAATCCTCCACCTAGCGGCGCTGGCACACCAGGTTCTAGTCCAGGTCGGGGCACCGGATTCTGTCCCGGTTGCCCCTCTTCCAGGCCAGCTCTCTGCTGTGGCCAAGGAGTGCAGTGGAGGATGGCCCAAGTGCTTGGGCCCTGCACCCCATGGGAGACCAGGAGAAGTACCTGGCTCCTGCCATCGGATCAGCGCGGTACACCAGCCGCAGCACGCCAGCAGTGGCGGCCATTGGAGGGTAAACCAATGGCAAAAGGAAGACCTTTCTCTCTGTCTCTCTCTCTCACTATCCACTCTGCTGGTCAAGAAAAAAAAAAAAAACACCTGAAAGGAGCTAGAGAGATAACAATATCAATGTGGCCTCCAGGACTCACTTGGTAAATGTTACTGAGAACAGAGTCTTGAGGTTATGGATAACAAAATGAGCTGATGGAGCCAAACCAATAAACATTGTGCTTGGCTGGGTTTAGTGTCTTCTCTGAAACAGGCTGCTTCCAGCTCATTTCTAAATGTGTCCTTTATTTTATTTTAATTGTATTTATTTGAAAGGCAGAGTAACAGAGAGAGGTAGAAACAGAGGAGAGAGAGGTCTTCCATCTGCTGGTTCACTTCCCAAGTGGCCAGGTTGCAGGAACCCAAACACTTGGGCCATCCTCTGCTGCTTTCCCAGGTACATTAGCAGGGAGCTGGATCTGAAGGGGAGCAGCAGGGACTTGCACCGGCACCCATGAGGGATGCCCATGCTGCAGGCCAGGGCTTTAATGTGCTGTGCCACAGCAACTACCCCTAAATGTGTCCTTCTGAATCGACATCCTGAGTTCTGACTCCAGCTTGATGGCATCCACAGCATCATTTATTTTCTCTCTTTTCCTACAGAACCACCAGGCATCCTCAAACACAGATTTTTAGTTATTTTTTATTTTAAAGCAAATGTTATCAGCAATATAGTTTGGGTTAAACTCAATTTAGGTCATTCAAATTCCCCTGAGAACATTGGTAGCTATGACAGAAAGAATATAATATCTCAACATACCCCAAAAATATATCAGTGGGGTCTGTCAAGAATGTAGCTTTTGGGGCCAGCGCCATGGCTCACTAGGCTAATCCTCCACCTGTGGCGCTGGCACACTGAGTTCTAGTCCCGGTTGGGGCACCAGATTCTGTCCCACTTGCTCCTCTTCCAGTCCAGCTCTCTGCTGTGGCCCAGGAGTGCAGTTGAGGATGGCCCAAATGTTTATTTGAAAGTTTTATTTGGAAGTTAGAGTTACAGAGAAAGAGGGAGAAACAGAGAGATCATTCATCCACTGATTCGCTCCCCATGTGACTGCAATGGCCAGGGTTGGGGGCAGGCTGAAGCCAGCAGCCATGAACTTCATTTGGGTTTCCTGCATGTGTGGCACTGGCCAAAGCACTTGGGCCATCTTCCACTGCATTTCCCAGGCCATTAACAGGGAGCTGGATTGGAAGTGGAGCAGCTGGGACTCGAACTAGCACCCATATGGGATGCCGACATTGCAGTTGGAGGATTTACCCACTATGAGACAACACTGGCCCCAACAGATATTTTAAACAGTAATTTAGCAGGCTAATTACCATTGTCCTGAAATAGTGCTTTAATTGATGGAGGATTTTAAAGCATATAAAACTTCACTTTTAAATTTCCATTCCTTTCATTTTGTGTATTTATTTTTAGAGATTTACTTATTTACTTGAAAGAGTTACAGAGAGAGAGGAGAGGCAGAGAGGGAGAGGTCTTCCATCGGCTGATTCACTCCCCAGATGGCCGCAATGTCCAGAGCTGCGCTGATCCGAAGCCAGGAGCCAGAAGCATCCTCCCAACCTCCCACGTGGGTGCAGGGGCCCAAGGACTTAGGCCATCTTCTACTGCTTTCCCAGGCCATAGCAGAGAGCTGGACTGGAAGTGGAGCAGACGGGTCTCGAACCAGCGGCCATATGGGATGCTGGTGCTTCAGGCCAGGGTGTTTACCCACTGCACCACAGCACTGGCCCCCCATTAAGTACATTTTCAAAACTTCATTTGAGACTTCCTCTTTGACTCATGTATTATTTCAAAGTGTGACCTTTAGTTTCCAAGTGGAAGGTTTTCCTGCTGTCCTTCCATTACTGACTTTCAGTTTGATTGCACTGTCATTGAAGACCCACTCTGTATGATTCACTTTTAAATTGACTGCGATTTGTTCTGTGACCCAGGGTGGTTTATTTTGTACATATTCTATGAGCACTTGAGAAGAATGTGTATTCTGGTGTTGTCAGTTCTGTTTTCCATAAATATGGGTTAGGTCCTTTTGGTGAATGAGGGTACAGGTTCTTGCATATTCCATACTGATTTTCTGTCTGGTTGTTTTATCAGTTGCTGAGAGAGTGTAGTTGAAGTCTCCAACTATAATTGTAGATTTGTGTTTCTTCAATGCATGCTGTCTGTTGTGCTTCCTATAACTTGCAGCTCTGTTATTTGGTGTTTACTTAGAAGTGCTATGTTTCTTCCTTTATCATTCTACAATGTTGTACTCTATCTACAGAAATCTTCCCTGTCCTGACTTCTACTTTACTTGATATTTACAAAATCACTTCTGTTTAATTTTTTGTTAATGTTTGTAAGCTGTCCCATCTTTTTACTTTCAACCTCCCTATATGTGTGTGTGTGTATATATATATACATATATCCACACATACATATGATTTTATTTGTAGTTTCTTATAGACAACATGTTCTCAAGCCCATTCTAAAATTTTTGGTTTTAATTGGTAAGTTTAACCATTTACATTTAATGTAATTATTCATATGGTAGAGATTAAACTTGACTTTTTGTTTTTGTTTCCTATTTGCTCTGGTTTTTTTTTCCTCTGATTTTTCTAAGTTCCTGGGGATTATTAGAACATTTCTCTAGATTTTCATTTTAATTATAGTGTTTTTTAGAGTATCACTTGGTATAGCTTGTATAGTGGTTGTTCTAGGTTTCCCATATGGTTGGAGAAATTCCTTTACCCACTCTTTCAGAGTAGGTTGAGAGGCAAGAAAATCTCCTGAAGGCAATGTTCACTGGATAGAGGGTCTCGCTCTGGCAGTTCTTGCCTTTCAGCACTGAGAACTAGTGTGCAACTTCCTTCTGACTTCCGTGGTTGTGGTATTCAAATTGTTACTGCTTTCAAGATATTT